GTCACATGTGCATTGTAAATGTCGAATGTACGTGGTGAGATTTCGTTTGCAAGGTTCGCCCCAACTCTGGTAAAAAAGTTATTGAACCCATTCACAATTGCATCTTGGTCATGTAGTGTAGTCGTAACGTTGCTACCGGGGTAATGGACATCAATGTGGTCCGGTAATTTTGTTTTGGAATGTCCTCTTCCTAATATTTCATTTATTATTTTCCAGGTTTTATCGGTTTTCCCATTATATTCAACAAACTGTTCTGAATAGAAATTACGTTTCGCATCTCTTAGAACATTTGTCACATAATTTCTATAGCGTTTATTTTTAGCCACGCTGTCCGCATTATAATTACATCTAACCATTTTTGAAAACAATTCATGTTTTTTATTTATTGCCCTTTTTAGCTCTATAGTTAACCAGGGATTTTGGGGGATAGTGTGGGAACCATTTTTTTTGGTAATGAGAGGGGCATGTTTGTTACAAATATTCAAAAAAGTGCCAGAGAATGCGTCATATACATTATCAACATCGTTACTATTATACACCAGTTCTGACTTTCAAGTTCATTTTTAAATTTGATTATATCAAGTTTGGAGTAGTCACGAAATGATATTATACCAGTTTCCGGAAAATACGTTTCTAAGTCTTGGAAAATTCCAAATATTGGTAGGTGATCGGATATTTCCACCTCTATTGTCCCTGTACTGACAAAGTTTGAATGAATATTTGTGAATAAATGGTCAATTACACTATGAGAGTTAGTTGTTATGCGTGTGGGTACATTAATAATTTGTTTAAAGTTGAAAGCATGATAATGTGTGACAAAGTTTTCTAACATGACTAGAGTCTAAATTGTTTAAATTTATATTCAAATCACCAACTAAGACACATTCGGAATTAATTGGTAAATTATGTAACACTGTATGCTCTAAACTGTCTAAAAACTCAACATTTGTGTTTGGTTTTCTGTAGATTATGACAATTAGCAGCGACTTATTCCAACCAACATTAACATTTACCCACAATGTTTCAGCGTGTTTTACCTCGACATCAATCAAATTATAATTT